CTTACGATTAACCATTTGCCGATAACTTAAGCCATTTCACCAATGGTGACGTGTCCATTTGTATTTTAAATACTGAAATCTTCTGAGATAAGATAGACCGTTCTCCAAAATACAATTAGACCATTTCTGTTTATTACAAACCATTAATTATGCCTGTATTTTTGGCGGTGGCGGCCGCCCATAACTATTGTCGTTCGAATATATTTTGTCCAGTTATAAACTGATAAAAAAGAGGTCATATGAAGTAAAAAAAAAAAACAAATTTATAAACTCACTGCATGGTCTTAAATGTACTCGCCAAACGAGGCTGATTAAGTGCGGGGCAAAAGTTAAATCAAAACTGTCAGCTTCATGTTGAAATAATAAAAATGAAAATATTACCTGTTTTAACCTAGGGTTAAATTTTATTTCCGTTTCATCAAAATACTCAGTATTCTTCAATGTAGGCACTTTAAAAATGGTTTTTAAGGTATGGTAATTGCTTTTTAGACGTAGTTGATTTTGGGATAGTGCGCAAGCGCGGAGAGGAAATAGTAAAGCACTGATATAAAGAACCAGGAGCCCATTGGCTCATGCATGATAGTACTATATAGTTCACCCTCCCAGTGTAACATCACTTGATTGTCGAGATTTACGGGATTGTCGGGACTTTCGGGATTATCGGGATTGTCAGGATTGTAGGGATTGACGGAATTGTAGGGATTAACGGGGTTATCAGGATTGTCGGGATTGTCAGGATTATCGGGATTGTCGGGATAATCGGGATTGTCGGGATTGCAGGGATTGTCGGGATTGTAGGGATTGTCGGGAATGTCGGGATTGTCGGTCTTACCTTCTTAACAAAATTTTTAGAAAAAATCCACAAAATAAAAATGAGTAACCAGGGCTAAACATGATAAAAAAAATTACAATTATTTTCTGGTTAAATATTCTCAACACATATGACTCCATGATACAGCCGTTGATTAAATGCTGGGAACTCGCAAATGTATTAAAAATTAATGATAAAGAAGCCAAGGGTGAAAATTTTGAATAAAAATGCGCTGTGAAGGTGATAAAAACCAGGATTACAGTCAGTTGTTATTTTTAAAAAAAAAAAAGATTTAATATTACTTAAGCGGTGGTTGAAGTAGTGTCTGTTCTGTTAGTCAGGCAGAGTGCCATCACCCTCGAGTTTTTTCCTACGGCAATCACCTTCTTCAAGCACTTTTGGGTTTTAGAATTCAGAGGCGTGATTGATTATCTAGGAATGATTGGAAATTTTAAATCCTTCATAGTAATTTTTAAAACATTTTTAATGACTTCTTGTTTTCGAGTACTGAGAAATTTACTCGTTTCTACAATATCGCCGGAGTTTTTGACGTTTTCGCAAGGGTCAAGATTCTCATTTTGAACTTGGTAATCCAATATTTAAAAAGTGCTCTCTGCAAGAGCTTCCGTGATGCTTTGTTTATACAGATTTTCAGGTTAACGGCAAATTTTTCATGTTTTAAAAATAGAGTCACATTATTTGACGACAAGACCTTTAGGCGGTCCTAAATGTATCTAGGCTCTACAATTTAAAATTGCGTCATAAATTCTATTTTTACTGTAATTAGCTTTCCAAACAGGAGAGTGCCCTACAAGCTAAGGCCTGTGTGTGACGTAAATTTCTACAACTTAAGTAGAACAATTTGATTTGAAAACATTCTAACTATAAAATCCATCGCTATTTTAATGCGTTTCTGAGTTCATGATAAATCCGTGTTATTTAGTCACCTCTGCAAAACCATTTTTACAGTTCAGTATATTGTTTATGGCATTTTTCTTGATATTTCGCAAATTATCACTACGCATTATACAATATTATTAAGCTGTCACCAAAAAAAAAATGTTAAAAATAGAACATCTTTTGCATACAAAATTACTCTTTGAAATCTCAAACCTGCTTTATCTAACACATTCATCGTATTTTTTCTTAAATGTTTTTAGTCACTTTGGTGCATGATTTCCCAAAGAGTCTCCATGGCGCCATAAAAAGGCTCTTAAAGTTCACCGCAACATCGTCAATATTGTTAAGATCAACTCTTGCATTTTTTATCCTCGCGGTTTCCGCGCGAACAAAATTGCCATCGCATCTGTGACAATTATATTCTCATTCTTTTGTTTTTTCTGCCAGCTTGTTGCAGTCGAGCATTCTCTTCTTCAAATTTTCAATTTCCGTCTCGATGTTGTCCATATCTTGATGTAGCCCCCGTACCTCGCTCACCACATCCCTTAGTCCGGCTTCCAAAGTTCCAATTGTAGAGGAAATTTCACTTTCGTCGAAATTGTCCTCGCATTGTTGAACAATGTGTTGAAATTCACTTCGCTTTGTCATGATTCTGGTCTCTGATGATGCCATTTTGTCCAGGAGACATAAAACTAAACTTACTCACTTGGTGTTTAAGTCGAATGATTGAGAGGGTCAAATGAAGCTGTCAACAAAACACGTCGTGTTATGTTATCGTGTAACTTCCGGTCAACGTAGTTCCGGTCAAGTGCAAAACTGCTATCTCGATCATTGTGGATTAAATCTTCAATCTGTAGTTGCTTCCCCTTTTAAAAATGTTTTTTCACATTATACTTTTTGTTTTTAGCGGTATCTTTTTTGGGTAACGTGTACGTTCTAGATAATGTGTGATTAATTCAAGCAATGTGTAGGTACTGAAAATAATAAAAGACCGCAATGTGCCCATAATTTACATTTCGTGTCAAGAAATAATGACATGCAAGTCAACACCTTTCATAATGCAAACGAAGTTTATTTTCATTCGCGTAAATTTTAGGGATAATCATAATGAACTACGCATGTCTGCTATCACCAGTTCATCCTAAAGGCCCATCTGAGTTTTAGCTCTCTAGCTCTTTCTAGTTTTCAAAATTATTTTTTTGCTGGTTCTATCATGATTATTTTGAGTGCGAGCTGTATGGCGGCCCAACTAATGACTTGCGGTCACGTTCAGAACCACAGGCTGCTATCGAACGTGACTCAGACAGCTTCACTTAATTAAAGAGGACAGTTTTTACGTCGACTGGAATTATAAATGTTAATTGCGTTTGGGATGAAGCATTTCTCCCATACTCAACTGCGGTGAGGATTGACTCACTCAAATTTCTCAATTGGCAAGGTTCGTGAGGATTTAACTTAGAACAAACTTCCATACTTTGAACAACCTTCGCGCAATAGTTTTCATAGTTACCATAGTTACGCAGCAGGAAGATAGGATGCTTTCCAAGAGAGGGACTAGGACAGCTGTTCTTTTGACCTCGAAGACTTAATTGAAACCATTCAGCGAGAACGGTCTGCTTTGAAGGTGTATTCGAGCAAAATAAACCCACACAAAGGAGCCTGCCTCAACAGTAGACGCAAATCACAGTGCAGTGGAACCAAGCAAGGCAAAGCGCTTAATTGCGACATCTTGGTTTTGCACCTAACATGTTAGTAGCCTGTTCTACGCGTTCAGATAATGGAGGGAGTGTTAGAGCCGGGGGGGGGGGTCTGGGTCGGGTCGCGTAATGAACGGTAGTTAAAGCGTTGAAATGGAAGAAATGCACTGTTATATAAGAGCGGACATGTTAGAGAAACGATCGGATAAAGAGTTCGGTTCTCTTTACAATCTAAAGCTAACAAACAGCAAGTCTGTTTTCAAGATTTTAACAACTAGTTTGAATAACTGATAAAAAAAGGTAATCTTACAGATCATTGTTGACACAATGAATCAGGAGCTATGTGGTTGTTCACTGACACGGTTTCGCTGATCGCAATTTCAGTCAAATCTTTTTTCAATATCCACAGATTGCGTGACTGCAACTCTTGGTACACCTGAGCAAAGATTACGTCACAACCTATCACAGGACTACCATCCTACTGTGCGGCCTGTGCTCACACCCAATGACATCATTAATATCACTTTTTCGTTCCGCTTTAGCAGGATCGTTTCACTGGTAAGGGAGAGTTCTTCCGCTTTGACGAAGATGAATTTTTATTTGGAAGTCCATTCTGCGATAGTAGTTATTCACGAAATGATGGAAGAGCCAGAAAGGTTCCCAAGCCTGGCCTGGAACATGCCAATTTTCTTCAATCCCCTTGATCCCTCAGAGTGACTGTCATCTCATTTCCCCTCACAATATTACCTCTGAATAAAACTTATAGGTCATGTACTTCAATTTACCTCAAAAACTAAAAAACAAAAAAACCTAAGGAATTGACATTGGCCCACTCTCTGAATATCCATGTCCACCTCATCACAAAGGAAACATGAAATTAAACAAAAAATCAAGGTATAATTTGTTCCTATTTTTTCCGTTCCTTTTCATTTTAGGACATAAAAAATCAGGTTCTTACTACAGACGCTTGGATTGTTCAGGTATGTTTCCATAGTCTCTTAATAGTAAATTATTACACCAACACAGGCATGACAAGTGACGAAAATTGACTCTGAGAGGGGGGAGAAGGCAAAAGGAGATGGTATGACCTAAAGAAAGAGATGAATACTGGGTACTGGCGAAATGAAAGGGAGGATAAGGGGGAAGCGAGTAAGCTGGGAATGAGAGGGGGAACGAACGAAAGGGAAGTTGGAATTGAATGAAGAAAGGGTAAAAGAAATATGAGGGACGAAGAAAAGGCGGCGAATCTTAGAAAAA